GCCTGGCCTGCTTTTGTCTAAGGATTTTTTAAAAATGAAACCTACATTTTAGGTCAAACTTTACCTGATAATTGATGCTCAAAGTGTTCTGGTAACAAGAATGCTGAATACATTTGACCCTAGGGATGGGATATCTGGAACAGCAATATCATCACCACTCTAGAAACATGTTTCAATCCAGCTGTAAATAACCCCAAATTCTAGAGTGAGCAGAGGTACTAAATATATTTTTCTCTACTGTCCTTTCTAAAAGGATAAGGCTTGGAGCCACTAATCCATTCCAGATACTGCTTTGCTATCAGTTTGAACTGTAACCATGTGTTTCACAAATGGTTTGGGGAACCTTGGTCACATGTTCGCAAGGAGCAAAGTTGTTTATTACCATTTACAAAGTGGTTTAAAAAACAGCAGGATATTGATATGCGCACAACAACTCAAAATGATATAAAGAGACTGCACAGATTCAATGCCAGATTACAAAGGAAAAAAGTCTTTGCTTGGAATACTTAATGCCTGATGCATCTTCTGCAATTGTAATATCTTCATATAAGATCTTTAAAAAAAGATCCAAAAAAAAGTGCAGTTACAACAGCGGTGAAGAGTATGGCCTCTTGACACTTCATTAAAGATGGACATAAGCCACGAAGTCTAGATCCAGACCTGTTCCCGAACTTTCCCAGAATGTAGGGGTCTACAAGCTGCACTTTTTGGAGCATAAGATATAATAATTTTAAATGTATACTTATACATAACATTTTAAAAACTGATAGTGTAACTTCTATCAGGTTGATCACTGGCAAGTTAAGGAGAAAAACAAACAACCCTTACATGGCATCATGAATAATCGTAAATGTTATTGTTACAAATTATCCAGCCTCTTTGTGAGCCAGAACCATTTCATTGGTTACCACTAGTCAAACAAAATACTTGGAACCACTGCTTGGGCACATACAAACATTTCACCACAGGTCGCTAGTTGCAGTTCAGGTCCTACTACAATCTCCTGGACTTCCTGGTGTGACATGCTGCCAGCGGTACAAACAAAACCTGGCTTCCAAGCTTACCTTTGGAAAACTAGAAAAGTATGAAAAAATTTCTCTCTTCCAGGAAGCATTTTCATACATATTATACATACATAAAATTGGCATGTTGAGGATTCAGGCAGGCAGCAAATAAAAGCCCCATTCACTGAAACCAGGCTATCTAAAGTACAGTGAAACCATCATTCTTGATTTTCTTTTCTATAAGCAAAGGAAAGATGTTGCCAATCACTGTTAGCTGCCATCAGTTCTAGCTCTAGATCAGTGGGAGACAACCTTTTTGGCAGGCATGCCATAAATTAGCCCTACACCCTTCCCGAGTGCCACTCTAATCCCCTTTCCCTGCCCAATCAGCTGCTCTGCTTTATGCTCCCTGCCCAGTCTGTTGCTCTATCTGCTACTGTGTTGCCATGGTCCTTCCAATCTAGTTTTCCAATTTCTGACAGCTGCCAGTACCATAGGAAAATGCAAAAACCCTGTAGTAGGCAATACTGTCAGCAAGTTAGTCCATAAGTTTTTTCCTAAACCCTCTGCAGTTAGTTATGTCCTGAAACACAGTGCTTAATAATCCCTATGAAAAAAGTTACCCAGTCTAATGCAACTGTACAGGCTCCATAGAGCTGTCCTTTTGAACCCTAATAAGCTATTGGCCTCAATTACATATTGTGGCAGCAAGTTCCATAAGTTAATTAAGCTTTGTATAAAATGCTTTCAATGCAGTTGAAAGGCAATGAGTTAAGAATAAATAGAAAAGAAGCCTCTTGTTTTGTAATATGCTTGTATGTTTACTCCAATTATGCTGTAAAATAGGATTATTTGGGTAAGGGTTGTAGGATCAGGTCTACTGTCACACTGAACTGCTAAATAACTATCTATGATATCTGTAACTACTATGCAAAATACTGTTCCTGAGCTAAAATTTCATACCTGCTTTATAGTCAGTTGGATACAAAAAGTAGCTGTGTCACATGATACATTTCTGTTATAAGTCCTCTCTCTCAGTACTTTAAACCTTCCTGAGATCAATAAGGCTCTCCAAGGCAAGGCCTGTCATTTTCTACAACAGAGTGCTACCTAGCACAAATAGGTCTTTGACCTGCTTGGCCTCTAGACAACAAGCAATGCACACGTTAAATAATAATTAATGGTGTGCACTCCCACATGGTGTTCAGGATGCATTTACCTCTGTCAGTCTAAGCATTTCAGGGCTGGTATTCAGGGTGCACTCAGTGCGAGAGGGCTCTCTGAAGACACAGCTGCCACGCTGGGATTTTGGGGTTGCTTTTGAGGGTGTTGACTATGACTGCTAAGCACACAGTGAAATGCATACTTTTCCTTGTAGATTTTAAAAATTGACTTTATCATATCTCCAAGACATTTCAAAATTAAATACCTTTGATTAAATTCAATACAAGGTTTTCCCTCTTTTCCAATAAGCAAAAGGGGGGGGGGAGGGGGAGGGGGAAGTCCAACCAGATATCTGCTTGAGTTTCAGGAGAGGACTCAGATACTGTACCAAACAGGATGAAGGAAGAGAATTTACACAGCTAACAACACTAGCTTCAATAATATTTAAATCTAGGGACTATTACCCAAGTGCTCATCTACATTTATTTTGGATGAAAAATACTCTGTTTCATTTCTGTTTCTAGTCAATTCCTCTTGCAAGTTCTCACATAGAAATACAGCATTTTGATGTTGTGGAGGCACATCCCTCTTAAAGACTTCAAAATAACTTTTAAAAATAGGATCCATATCACTCTGTACAGCTTTTACAAAGGCTTGTTTTAAATAAAGCCTGAAATTTCAGGTTAAATATGTGGTGAAAGCAAATGTAAAAAACATATCAGTAGCAAGAAGTGAATCTCTGCAAAATGACAGTCTTCTGAAGTAGGATTTTGATTGTGAAAAATTTTCCACAAATAGAACTACTTTTAAGTCTTTAAAAATTAAATCAAATGTGTTAATAATTTCCATCTGCTAATTCAATTTTCATGCTTCCTTTCTAGGATCCCAAATGCATTAAGATAATTGAGAAACGTGTTAAGCAATTTAATAAGTCACAAACACCAGACATGGAAAATTTGGTTAGATTTGTTCCCCAACCCCAACAGAAACATTTTCTGCTCTATATCATAATAAATTTGTTATTACTGTTTTCTTTGAGGTACGCAAGGTAGCAATCTAAGATGCATCTTGCAAATCCATAGCAATGCTATCCATAAAGCTCAATGCACGCCTTTGTTTAATTCCACACTTTACTTGAGGCAATACTTTGATAAGCTTATCATCATGCACTGAACTGACATTCTGTGATGACACAACAGACAACACTGCAAGGGGAATCAAGGATTTACATTAGTGATATATCATCTCTCTGGAACACACTTTAGGAATTTTATTCATTAGACAAATATCCAGAAGGGAAAAGCCCCCCAAATGACAGGACTTGCTAAACAGTATCAGGAATTAAATCTCTTTTGGATAGGGCTAGATATACCTTTGCAAAATAAAATAAATAAAATGATTAAAGTGATTTAACAAGACAGAAAGGAATTAAATTGAATTCAGATCAATTTGTTCCAGCATATTTAAGTTTTAGATCATTAATGAATGTATGTGTTTTTAAAACTTATTCCTAATGCTAGTTTATATCTATACTGTATATATGGATTAAATAGCATATAAAGTCTTTTTAGGATTAGAAAGCAATAATCTTAATTCTTGTAATAGCTAAACAACAACAAAAAGGTAATGGAACAGAAAAGTATTCACACATGCAAATAAATTTGCATACTAGCATCCAATTTCTGTACATGTTTTAAATCAACACTAGAGGTCTTTGTTCAATATGCAGCATAACTATTTTCATGGCTGATTGAAATACTATAATAGTCTGTAGTCTATATAGTTCAATCGAGGGTGGATTCAAAATTCTGCCTGTCATCTTTGAAAAGGCCAGTATTTTTGCATCACTGTATAGTGTGAAAATGAGAAGAATGGCAGTCTCTCTATATTTGCCTGTGTATATCTTGGTCACATTATGGTATGCAGTCCCTTCCGGTTATCATTCTAGAGACTATTAAACGCGATTAAGAATGTGATCTTATTGGCTATAAAATATCTGCTGTATGTTTTTAGAAAGCTCCTTTTCTCAATCTCCCACTCAACAGGACAAGACACAAATTTACATATGGCTGGAAAAATGGAACAGGTTTAAATATGTTCAGGAAACATCAGGAGGCTTTTGCCATATATGACCAGATTTGCATCCTTCGACCATTTCCAAGAACTACCTTATTTCACCCAGCAGGCCACATTTCATTCCAATGAACCCCAACCAAAATAACTAAATAAATCCCACCCCCCCAGCATCCAGGGACATTACATGAATAAGTCCTCTTCTAATGCATTTGCTCCCACACAAACTATTACGATACACAGCCTTAGAACCAGACTGTAGAAGAACAAAATCCCATCTCAACAGCTTAAAGAACACCATGGAATTACATCCTTGAATAATGTCAAATTCAGGAAGTGAGTTTCCATGTAAATGACTTATTAAAGGTTAGTCAAAGGATTTTGATGCAGACTACCCTATATTTACTCTGAGCACATTCATTTTATGCTTAAGATACTGCTATGCTACCATGAATCACTGGATACTTCCGTTCCATCATCCTGAGGAGAGCAGGTTAAATAGAAATTTGGCAATCCTCAGCAGCAAACACAGGACCAGGGATGTGAATGCAATAGTCTAACAAGCTGTACATTATACCCTAATTTGCAACATGCAAGTTTTGAAAAGCTTCAGACAGGATTTTTAGAGGGGGACCCCCCCCCCCAAACTGCATGCAATTCGTACCCAAGCTAAGCTTCAGCACGCTTTCCCCTCATTCCCACATGCCCGGCATTTAAAACGCTCAGAAACCTGCAAGAGATGCTCAGAAAATTACCTACCTTCCATCATGGTGGCAGAATTGCATTCCTCAATTTCCAAGGAGCCTGAAAAAATGCAGGACAATACGATTCCAGTTACCAGATGCTTAATGTAAGCCCTTAAAATAAATGTCTGAGATCCCTGATTTGTACAGCTGCCAGAGCAACATTGACGGGGGAGGGAGAAGGGGGAAAAAAAGTGCTAAGGCAAAAGACAGGCCATGGATGCTGCTGTGTCTGTATCACCTAGAGGATCACAGAAGGATGCTGAGAGAGAAAGGGAGAGAGAGCGAGTGCCGGCTTAGCTCACACGCCTGCCAGTATCTCAGCCAATCCCTCCAGCTCTGTACCTTGTCACATGGTAGCCTGCTTGCATCTCCTGACACAATACCCCTCGAGAACACAGGAACCTATTTCCCATTTTTCCCCCCACTTTCACCAAATGCATTACCCCTTTTCGTACCTTGTGACGCACTTCCCCTCTCTATAATCCTATTGCAGCAGCTGGGTGAACAAGATTAATTCTCAGGCACTGTCAGATTAGGAGGAGGCTCTGCCACGAAACGTGCACGTAAACAGGACTGCAGAAAAAAAAATTAGAATATTAAGCCTGAATAAATAGCCAGAGATTACATTATCTGCATGCAGCTCTCTAGTCACTACAATTCGATTCGAATAATGTCACTACGTTCAGAGTGTCAGGTTCTGTAGAGCGCCGAAATCAGAGAGGCTGTAAGCTTGGCTTCACATTTGTGTCTGCTGATCCCTTTGCTCTCCCTCAGCCATTCAAGAGAAAATCAATTGGACTGACGTCACATCATAAACAATTATCCCCAAAAGGATGATGCAGAAGAAATTTTACCCGGACCGCCTTCACGAGAGCCTTGGAATTAATTTCGCATGAAGAGCATCAGAGCCAAAGGGCAGGGAATTGCCATTAAAAAGAGGAAACAAAAGACACACATGAGGGAGTGGGGCTCTCAGATCAGACTGGAAATGCATGAGAATTTCAGTGGCAGGGGGAGGGAAGGCAGGAGGGAAAAAAAACAAAGCTACGGGCAGCAGATTGCAGCTATTCAGCATGCACTACCCTAAAAACAAAACACAACCTCAATTAGCTTCTGCTCTAGCAGCTACCAGTGACATTTCTGAGGCACTCTCACACAGAGAATACTTCAATTAACCAGGTTTTCTTCCTTCCAGCCATGCTGTTGTCTTCCTGCTACTGGATTCAACATGAGACTGATACTGTAAACCGGGAAAGCGTTCTCAGTCAGACACAAACTGCTACCTCTAATGAGTTCTCTGCCATTTATATCCACTACCTAGAGGTTCCCTATCATGCTTATCAACATGGGTTTTGAACAAATCTTTATCTAGTTATTTTTTTTACATCAGTCCATTACAGTGTGTGTGTGTTTTTCCTGTGTCTATAATTTTTTTTTTGTCTTTGCCATTTTAAACGACAAGGAACAGGGTAGGATATAACTTAAGTTTTAAATACACCCACAGGAGACAAAGTGACTTAATGTTTCTGTAAAAGTTATTGGGACTAGACAGGTTATGTCCTTGACATATCAGGATCTTTTTTGGCCGTTTCCCCATTCCCAAAAGCTAAATTGGATTTCATTTTAGTAAAAAATGACTGCGTTTCCCATTCCCTTTCATTCCATGCTAATATGCAATGTCTAAACCTGCAGAAGACAGAGGAACCTACCACAAGCCTTCATTTAAAGGCAGTGGTGTTCACTCTTCTGGCCCTGTGAGCCAGGTAAGTGGCACAGGGCCAGCTCCTATGCCCAGATCAGGCCCTGTGCCATCACCGCCTGACCCCTGCACTCAGACTGTGCTGTCTTGGCTGGCCCCTGGGCACCAGGGTTAGCCTTGTGCAGCCTTCCCAGTCCTACATGCCCACTCTAGTACATAGAGCCATGCTATCATGCATCTGGCTGAGGCTAGACGTACACCTGGCTGGGGTCGTCTGACCCCAGTGCTCTTTCCTGCCCATGGCAGGGGGTCGGACTCAATCTACTGAGATCCCTTCCAACCCAAACATCTGTCCAGCCCACACGATTAATCGAGTCTGCCATGAATCTCTTGGAGCATGCTAATTAGCGTGCTCCAGCAGCCTCTGCGTCGTATATTCAGCATCCCCACATTTCGAAATGGCGGTGGGTGTGCCTCAAAGTTCAAATGAGCTTTAGTTAAAGTGCCCCTGCTGCCATTTTGAAGTGTGGGATGCTGAATACATGTGCTGCTACAGATGCTTAATTAGAGCAGCTCTCAGAGCCACTCTAATTAAAGAGTCCCCCCTCCCCCCCTTCCACCTCAGAGCACATGTATAGACGCCCTAAATGACAACCCAGCAGCAGCTCCACCAGTGGATCAGTAATATTACAAAAGTATAGTTAACCAACCATGAATGCAGTTTATCAGCTGGAAATAGAGAGAATTAATGCCATGTGGCCAGCCAATTCTGTAAACCACCTCAGTAGCACATACTCCTCAGACCAGTGTGAAAAACTGTGACGTTAAGGAAACAAGAGTGGCACAGTTATTTGCAAGACTTGTAAGCTTATAATCCAAAAGAGCCAAGACACACAGAGGCAGGAGGGGGAGAAGAAACTACGCATTATTGTCCTGATTTACAGATAGGAAACTCAGAAAGTGGGATTAAGTATCATGCAGACAGTTTGTGGCAAAGCCAAGAGCTAAACCTGGATCCCTTGAGACCTGGTCCAATGTCTTAACCAGAAAGTCATTCTCTTTCTTTCATTTCTATTTCCCTCACTTGTCAAGGACAATTAACTATGTCCTTCTTTAAATTTAACCATGTCCTCCTTTCTTTTCCAACTAAAAAAATATTAGAAACTTTTTAAAGCCCAGAAACGTTTAACTACTTCTTCTCTCTAAGCCTAAGAACTGATTGACAACTTCTCTTTTATACAGGAGAAAAACAAAACTCTATTTTATACAGCACTGCCCAGGAAACCTGCTCATTTGCATTTCCATTTAATATTATTTTAAAAGTGTAAAAAAAAAAAAAAAAAAATGAACTTGTCAATGAAATAAAAATCATATCCCCCCCCCCCAAAAAAAAAAAAAAGATGGATGCCTAGTCCTAGGAAATACAGAGCGGGGTGGGTAAGGAAATCACACACAACTAACTGCCTGCATGAAATATTCATGTCTCCCAAATCATATGGATTCACTAACTGTCATGTTTTATTACCAACTCAGCTGAAGCTAATCAAATGCTTCCACATAGTTTAGGTATAGGTCTGGTACAAGTTTGCGGTTGTGACTATTCTTTTTCAAAAATTCAGTTTGTTGGAACCCACATTTTAAAAGGAAGAAAAAAAGGAAGATAATGCAAAAAAGAACCATATTTGCTCAAGTCCCAGTTAAATAGGGTTTGCTAGACCTGATGAGGTATTGCCTACAGCAAAAGCTTTGTTATCTGGCACCCATAGGGAGTGGGGGGTGCCAAATAACAAAATATGCTGGTTAATTGAGAGGCCTGAACAGGCATCATTGCCTGTTTGGGCCACCCCTCCCGCCACATCGCCACCCCTCCCACAGGCCCCAAGGGACAGGGAGGCGGGCCCCACGTAGCCTGCTATGCCCCGGGCTGTGGGGGCTCAGCGAAACCGGAAGTGCTTTCCGGTTCCGCTTTTACCATACAAGCCGGCATGCTGGTTAATAGAGCATGCCGCTTGTAAGGTGCCAGTTAAGGCAGCTTTTACTGTATTTGTTTGGAGTCCCAAATCCTCATAGCAGCAGGGAAGAGACAAGGGTCCTGCCCTACATGGATGACCTCAACATCCTATGCAGGGACAAGTGGTCAGTTAAAAAAGAGTGCTAAAGCATATGCAGGTGTACAAAGCAGTGGCAGGAGGCAAGATCAACATGAGCAAAAGCACCTGCCTGATGCTGGGTGAACTCAGGGACTAGGAGTCTCCATCCCCCACAAGGGGGTCAAGACCCTTGAGGTAGGAGTTCGACCCAGAGTTAAATGGATGGACAGCATAGGAAAAGATGGAGGCCGAAGTGATGCAGAAGCTGGGATTTTGGCACATGCGCTGCCTCTCCATGGAGGTGATGCTGCTACCGGTGCTCCTCTACACTGTGCTGGTCTTTTCCCCACTGAAACAAATGGCCCACAGAATCCAAAGGACCATGTGCATCTTCTTTTGGGGATCCAGATGGGAGAAGGTGGCAAGGAAGATGCTGTACAAGACCAAACAGACCAGGGGCAAGGGAAGGCCAGGTATCCTGCTGTACTTAGCCCAGAGAAAAATGACCCAGATCTGTAAGCTGGTGATCAGGGCAGAGACTAAAATGGCCTGTTTCATATAGTCTCAGAGACCAAGTAGAATTCAGTACAATGTCTCTGCTGAGACCTTGGTGAGTGTACACACCACCCAACAGGACACCGTGGACCACAGAGTAGCCAATGTTTTACAAGGTCCCAGACAATTTCTGGAGCAAATACGGCCTACTTAAAGAAGCCCCTGCAACCATGACCAACCACGAGGAGATGCAAACAGTGGTCAGAGCCAGAGAGAGACTGTCTACTGTGGATCTGCTCCCAGGGACAGCTGCAAAGCCATGCAGGAACAAATCTTTCACAGGGGTCTACAGAAAGACCACAGGGACTTTGTACTACAAATACATTAGATTTTAGACATAAGGCTTAAATTTAGACATGATGCTTTATTTTTGCAATATGCTTCTGTATTCAACATGGCTTGCCAATAGCTTCTGCATATAGGCTAAAGGCAGCTTCACACAGAGTTCCACAGTCGCACCTGTTCAATGACCTAGAATTACACAAAGATAAGGGGTTACTAAAGGACATTGAGCTTACCACATCTTCTCCAACACGCATGTGCCTTCATCTATCCCATAATAAGTTGAGCCTAACTTAAAAGGTCCTGACATCCTGTGGAAACTTAGACGTAACGGTAAAATTGTGAAACTGCCAATAGTTATAAGACACGCTACAGTTCTTTGTTTAGGTAAGCTATAAAAAGACCCTCAGACAAAGACTGGGGGTCGACTCTGCTTTGGGTTACTTAACCCCTTTGTCGACCGATTGCGCAATCAATAAACTTATCATGGACCCGGCCTGAGCGTGTGACTCCCACCTTGAGGTATTTGGAGAAAGCCTCCAGGGGCACGAAACTAGCAATTTGTGCAACAACTTGAACTGGCAAGTAGCTCACGTGGCACTCCCCATGTGGGCTCTGAGACACAAAGAAGGGCAGAGAAGCCAACCCAACTGCCCCAGAGAAACCTCCCAGGGGAAAGCAAAAATGATCGATCACCTCCTGTGATTCTCCCCTTTTGCCAAGGAGGTATGGAAGAAAGTAAATCTGCTCCTCTGAATGGTGGCAGGGGTCAAGACCATGACCAGAGGGGCAGTGCTGTACAGGCACCTGACCAAACAACAGGGGTCCCTGTCAACCCGCTTTGATCAGTTCATCTCCTGTATCAGGAGCAGCCTGTGGAAGGCCAGGAACCTGCTCATGTATAGGGACACACAAAGATCTCAGCTGAGGACTGTGTTAAAGT